TAGTTTTTCTGTTTCCAGAACCCAAGCTTCAGCTTTTAGCGGTTCGACGTCTCCCTGAAAGGATGGCGGTTTCATTTTGCTGAACTTCTGGGTCAAAGCAATTATGTCCCCATCATTCTAGTTATCATTTAACTTTTCAAGCCAAAATTCACATTTAGACAGTTTAGCATACAGTTTCTGTTCTCTTAAGGTTTGTAGGGCAAGTCTCAGATGATGTTCATGTTCTTCTATACTCTTGGAGTAAATCAATATGTCATCAATAAATACAACAATAAAATTGTCAAGGTATGGTTTAAAGATTCTGTTCACGAGGTCCATAAATGCAGCTGGTGCATTCGTGACTCCAAAAGGCATAACTAAAAATTCGTAATGTCCATACCTCGTTCTAAAAGCAGTTTTATCAATGTCATCTGATTTAACTTTCAACTGATGGTATCCGGATCTGAGATCAATCTTCGAAAATACTTTAGCACCCTGTAATTGATCAAACAGGTCATCAATACGCGGTAATGGGTATTTATTCTTTACAGTTACCTTATTCAGTTCACGATAGTCAATGCACAGTCTCTGTGAGTCGTCTTTCTTCTTTACAAACAAAACAGGCGCGCCCCACGGTGAGGTACTAGGTCTGATGAACTTCTTGTCTAACAGTTCTTGCAGTTGCACTTTCAGTTCTTTCAGTTCAGTTGGAGCCATTCGGTACGGAGCTTTAGAAACTGGCTGTGTTTCGGGAATCACATCAACAGTAAACTCAATCTCCCTGTCAATCAAATCCTCTGGCAAATTGTCTGGGAAAACATCTGGGAATTCTTTGACTATAGGAATACAGTTCACATTAGCATTATCATCAGTAAATACAGTCAGTACAGAACACAGATATCCCTTACCGCCCTTTCTAATCAATTTTACAGCTTTCACAGATGAAATCAGATACGGGGGAGGTACTACTCCAACCCCATTAAACACAAATTCAGGTAGACCAGGTGGATGGAAAACTACTTGTTTCGTTACACAGTCTATGGTGGCATGATATTTCGTTAACCAGTCCATCCCCAATATAACATCAAAATGGTCAATGTTCAATGGCAGTAAATCGATAAACAGATGTGCATCTCCAACAATAATTTCACAAGCAGGATACATGTATGCACAGGTCATAGATCCCCCAACGGGTGATGATACAGGACAAAACTGGAGTAACCCTGACGCTCCTAGCCGCGGTCTGGTGCCTGTACACCTACATATATATATGAGCAGTGAGCTAAAGCCCAGTGAATAACATAATGCGTAAAGGGGTTAAGAATGAATGTCCTCATA